GGTTGCAGTCAGTACTTGAACATCCCACATTATCCTTCCAGCCCCATCCCATTTCTCCTTTCCTCACTGCCATTGCAGAGAAGGCTTACTGAATAGGTGTTAATAGTCTGTGGGTACAAAGGATTGGAGGAAGAATCTGAAGAGAAAGCAGGCTCAAGAAGCATGGTTCGTTTTACCACCAGAGAAGAGAGTGAGAAGCGGCACAGGGCTGAGGACACGGGTGAGGCTAGGGCTAGACATCAGCTGGAGAGGGAAGAGGGAAGGAAATAGTCCCCAGAGCAGCTTCAGAGATTTATTTTCCTCTTGTTTCCTCCCACAGGCAGCAGCAGTCTAGGAAAAGAGGGAAATTTCAGGAACATTGGCAGATTATATACCACTAAGCTTACCCAAGCTGGGGTGGCTTTTGTTTTGGTTTGTTAGGTGGCTAAGTGTGTTCAAGTCAGGAACTGTGCGGGTATTTGGGACAGATGGTTTTACATTTAGATAAAATATATCAAGATGTTCATTACAGTAACTATTTTGTTAAATAATATAGTAATGGCTGTCTTACTAGATAATGGCAGTAATAGATATCTGTTAAATAATAGTTATGGCTATATAGTTAAATATTAGTAATAATTTTGTTAAACAGTAATAGCTATTTTATTAAATAATATTAGTAGCAGTAGTCCTATTAAAAGTAGTTTTATTAAGTAATATTAATAGTAGCTAATCTATCATATAATAGAATTTATACATATTTTAAGTCTATAAGAAAATGATGCACAGTCATTTTCACTCATTTAGTAGTCGTTTTGTTAATATTAGCTGTCATTACCAAAAAAAATAGCTGTCATTAAATAACAGCATAAGTTTTATTGAATAATAGCAGTATTAGCTAATTTAAGTCCATAAGAAAATGATACACTGTAATTTTTACTCATTTGTCATTTCATTTCTCAATAGGCTATTCTTCTAGAGTAATCAGGGAAGCTGTATTGGATTTTCAGAACAACTTTTAAAACTGAGTTTTACCATCCGATGTTAAGTTCCTAGAGCACAAAGAAAAAGCCTGTGAAGTTAGCTTTTCAAATACAATTCAATGTCATTTTTATCTGGATTAAAAATTAATCATCAGTTGACTTGGGAAGGAAGAGAGAGAGAACCCATGAGAAATTGTAGCTTGAGACAACTTTGTGAGAAGTTCCAGCTTCTGAAAGTAATAGATCTGAGGCAGCAGCTTGTTTTTATTGTAACTTTGGCAAGGCTATTACATTAATAAAGAGAGATTTCTCAGCTTGTGTTAAGCTTCATTTGTTCCTATCTATTTCAGGTTGTAGGAGGCCTAGATATCCACAAAAAGATGGTGGTAGATGTGTGACTCTCTTTAGAGCACCGCCCAACACTTTTGCTTTCTTCTCCATCTCTGAAGATCTGCTCAAGACGTCCAGCAACGCTATCTGTGTATTTAAATGGAAGTATTTTTCTCTGTGAAGCCACATTTTCCAACATGAGCCTCATGAAGCCAACTAAGTGTTATTGAACTCTTATTCTCTCAATAACTCCGTGTAGCACTTTAAAGTCTGAAGGACAGCAAGATGGAAAAGAGCATATCAGTGTGGTGGAGAAAGGGAAGGGTTGGCTTTTTAATTTATTTTTCCTCATCTTTTATAACAAGGAAATATCTATATATACATATGTAAATATTTATATATAGATATATGTAGCTTTCTATATGTAGTAGGTTGGCTTTAATTTAATATACTTGATTCAGAAGCAAAACTAGAATACAAAAGTGCCAAGCAGAACATAAACAGTTCGAAATATGGATATATACTTACTTTTATTTCACACAGTTTTATATATATAGTAGAAGTCTGTAAAATTTAAACTGGGTGTTAGGTCATCTGTTTTCCTTTTCCTGTGATGTTCAGATGTCTCATGACAGATTGATAAAGCATTGTTAACTTCCAGCTCTTTACCTTAATTACTTTTTTGTAACACAGGAGTCTATAGGTTTATTTATACCTGTTAATATATTACCAGGGACTGTGTCTCTTTGCTAAGCAGCTTTTAATACACTTCTGGTGAATGAAAAAAATGTAATTTCAATGCTAATGCCAAGAACTAGTCCTTGTGTTCATATAGTAACTGTGCAATGCTTGTGGCCACTTCATTCTGTTACTTAGTAACTGTGGAAACAGTTGCATTTATTAAAATATCCCTAAGCAATGTATATTATCAGCTGTAATGGGTTATTTTATACATGACAGCTAGAGTTGTTGTTTTAATGCATTGCTTAAAGATGAGGATTTGAGAATATCATGCAATTATCCAGAATTCTCACTTTTGATACATTGTGTAGTGAGATAAAATGTTTGTCGTTAAACTTAATGTTGGAATCATGTTTCCCTTCTGCACTAGAATAATGCAGGTAATGTAACCTATTGTAGGTAGTCTAATTAACTAATATTTAACGCGTGTGTATATGTATTATGTACACATATTTATACACGTATATTTCATACAAGGGGAAAATCTTGTTAACCTATGCCGCAGAAAAAAGAAACTTTCCATTATCCAAATTTGTACTATATGTCTGTAACAGGTCTAGAGTGTTTTACATTTATTTCCAGATTTGCCCAAATCATGATTTGTAACGCTAACTTGCTATATTTGTGTGACATAAAAGTAGTGAATCATGTTCTACCAACTACCCTTCCCTTTCTGCAATGGTACTATTGGCTGGAAAAAAAAATGTTATTAAACTTTTAGGGCAGTACAGTCTTTCCTAGTTTTTCTGTTTAACTGGTTTTATAATCAGCAATAGAAAAGTAAGGTTGTATGAATCTTCTTCAATTGAGCACCTCTCTGCCATAGCTGTTCCTTCAACTGAGTGCTGCACATCATGGGCTCTGTCTGTGAGAGAGAAACCCAGGTGCTTGGTGTCCTTGCATGACATGGAGTTTTGCATGTAGATCGATTTGAAATGTACCTCTTGTTTACATAATTTGCATAATTTAAAAAGATAATGTTGCCAAACTTTGGTAAATGTTAATGTTCAAACTGAAAATCTCCACTACATGTAACTTTCTTCCTCTGGATCAGTACGTGGCTTATAATCCCAGCCAGTGGTTTGATCTGTTCCAGTGTCAACTGCCATGTGCTCTGCTTCAAGGGGGAACTAGTCTTTTGTGAATTTTTTGTACATAAGTATTTGTTACAGATATTTTAGCAAATGCTTTCTATTTCTCTTGCTTGTGCATATCTTGGCTGGCGTTATAGAAAATAGTGCAAACATCATTTCCTTATTGGGGGATTTTTGTTTTGTTTTGTTTTTTAGTTTGTGTTGGGGGGGAATGGTTTATGTTGAATGTTAGTTTTTCTTCTGCATGCTACATCATGTTGTGTGGGATCTTTAGGAGACTTCATACTATATGAATAAAAAAATAAAATATTTGAACTTGCTACCATGTGTTCAAAGTGATCTTTGTTGAGTGATCTATAGCTAAGGAGTAGACATAAAGAAAAAAAGTACTCCCTACTACACAGCTCTTGACAATCTAGTTAGAAGTAGTCATGTTAAAGGAGTTGATGTATTTTAGGTGGGGGTGAAAAGACATTCTCAGTGACAAATATAATTCCTTAGGTAATATTAAATGTCTAGTTATTTGTCATCGAAGGGGGGAAATGCCATTCATCTCTGAAGTATAGAAATTAATTCTGAAAATTCACATAACCATGAGGTTTTGTTTTGTTTTCTTAATAGTAACCAACTGTGTAGAAGTCCTGTATTCTTAATATGGATCCTAGGGTAGCTAGATAAGCTGTCCTTATACTCAGCTTCAATTATGCATAAATGAGGGCCCCATTCCCACTATACTAGGGTCTGTTGGTTTGAAACAGACTAAGGTAGCCATGGTCTTTTCTGAAGGGGACTTGGAAGGGACCCTAGAAGTCCAACCTTTTCCTTTAGAGACATAGAAATAGCAAGTTTGTTCAAGTCACATACAGAACAAAAGACCCCCAGTTCCTTTGCCTTCAGATTCAGCATTAATTTCATTTGGATGTCACAACTTGCTAAAATGGAGCTTAATTTCCCCTCACACCTCCTCAGATTCTCCTGGCCTTCAAACTCACAGCTCTTTAATCCCCATAATCTTCATCGTAGATCTTATGGGGCCAACACAATGCAGGGTATTAAGAAAAAGTTATGTAAATTTCTGAAATCTTTCATTTTCTTGTATGAGCAGCAAAGAGAACAATGATCTTCCAAGCTGGAGCTCCCTTCTTAAATTAAGGTAGTCTAATGGGAAGAAAACATGAGCTGTAGATCCAGTTATACCAGTAATGATCTGTGATCTCCAGCAAGTCATTTTACTATACTCTGGGCTTCTTGTTTATTCATTTGTAGAAAGAGGCATTTCGACTACATCACTTCCAAGATTCTTTTGCTTATTAAATTGAAACCATGCTTGTTTTAACATTTAGTTTATTTAGAAATTTAGTTTCACAGTAAAGCTTCTTAGTGCCTCAAGATATCCTGAAAAAGATGATGTAGTAAGAGGAACAATCTTATGTGTTTAATTTTTATTGCTTAATTAAAACATCTGGCATTGGTAATATTAAACACATTTGAAAAGTGCCTAAAGCATTTTCCTCAATGACTTTGGTGGATAGATTTTTCTTCATTTTACAAACAGGACAGGTACCCAGATTAATTTCTCTTGGATCATAGTGCAAGGTAGTGAAACGTTCAATAAACAAATAGCCATCATCACCTATAAGCTATCTTTCTTGGCATTAAGGAAGTGTATCATTTAGGTCCAGAAACTTTCCTTAACAATCCAAGAAAGGAACTCTCATCAGAACTCTTCTCTAGCAAAGTCAATTTCCTTCAAAATTAAAGAGGAGGAGGAGTAACATGCATTTATTAAAACAGCACATACTATGTGCCAAGAAATTCAATTTACAAATCTTGCATTTGATCCTCACAACAACCCTGTGAGGTAGGTACTATTATAATCCCTGTTTTACAGTTGAGGAAATAAGCAGACAGGTTAACTGACTCACCCAAGGTCACATAGCTAATAAATGTGTTAAGGCCAGATAGGAACTCGGATCTTACTGCAGGCCCTGTGCCTGGAGACCCAAATTGTGGATCTACTCTAGCGTAACATAGATAAACAGGTACATTATACCTAAAAAAGATAAATAGCTTTCATATTATTTAAATATAAAAATTTAAGTCTATATTAGAATAACTAGAAAAATGTTTTTTCTTTTGTTTCTGAATAAGAACAGAAAAAGGGATTCTGGCTTTAAAACAGATTTTGCTTCTCTGCTTGACACTGTTGCTACTTCCTCATGCAGTCCCTTCTCCACCTGAAGAAAGCAGTCCTTTACTTTGAAATTAAAATCGATCTGCTGCTCTGCTAGCCACTGCTCGAATGTTACTATAGACCTTGGATGGAGGACTTCCTACAGAAGAGAAGAAAAAAAAACTTTATATACAAAATTTACATTAAAAGCTATGTAAGGACAAGAGCTACAAATTTCCATTTATGTAATAACGTTGACAGGAGACCTGTCATAATAGTACCAAATAAGTCCTAATGTAAGCCACTACCCTAAAATACTATCTTTGAAAAGAAAATAAACAATATACTGAAAAAAGCAAATGGATTACACTTAGGTTTTATGCAATACAAAACCAGAAAAAGTATGTCTTATGCTCAGTCCTATATATGGTAAATTTCAAGGAATCCCTTACAGAACAGTATTTTTAAACCCTTTTACCATTAGCCAAAGATAACTAGAGGAGACAGTTTCATCTTGCGCCAGAAATAGAGAATTTTAAGATAGTTATTTTATGACAAATTTGTGATTACATTATTTGGTTACAAAGAGTAACTGACACTCTTGATAACTAAGAAAGAAAAAGTAGTGTAGAGAAAATAGCACTAGAACTGAACTCAGCAAGTCATCGTGAACCTTGGTTTTTTCATCTGTAAAGTGGGGATATTAGCACCTATTTTACGGGGCTGTAGCGAGGTTCCAAAATCATCATATGTCTTTAAATCATGATTTCTGTATGAGTTAAAATCGAAGTAAGCAGGTAAATTACAACAGACTCTCTCCTTGTCATTTTACTTTTTTTAAAGAATGATACATTACTAATATTTATATACCCAAACAGATATAAGCTGTATTTCTGAAAGCCAGTAGTTAAACCTCAAGAAAAGGAGAAGAAAAAATGGATGAAAAATCCCCTTGTTCTCTCAATAACAGGTAAAAGGAGGGAAATTCTTTTCCATCACCAAAACTTCACCTAATTTTTACTTCCTGCTTCCTACCAAGTATTATTCTTACTGAAGAATGACGTAAGAGATTCTCTAGTATCACATTACTGTGTTTCCAAAGAACAACGTAAGGCTATTAATTGCATTTACCAAGGATGAGGTTGCAGATGGCTGTTCTTGCCATTTTAATATTTTGGAAAGAGCCAAGGATATGAACTTTCCTGAAAGACAAAATAATGAAACATGTTTGTAATATAAATACCATTTTTAAAAAATAACCACTTAATGAGAAACAAGATGTAAGCTGTAAAATTTTCCAAGTGATATTTTCCAAAGAATCATATATATCACACACAAAAGACTGTAGTTGTAACTGCATGTTGTAACCTTTGGACAAAAAAACAAAAAAGGTTGCTAGCACAGCATGATAGAAAGAGGTTTCCCAACAAAGTCAGGAAAAAAACTTAAATCCCAAAAATGGTACTTGCTAGCAGTGTAACCATTAACAAATGACTTCACATTCCTCACCTATAAAACAGTTATCTGTACAATTTGACAGGGTTATGACTTTGTAAATTTTATTTTATTTTTTTTTCAGCCAAAGACAAGGTTTATTAAAGATCCACCATATTGGCCAGACTCTTAAGGAATCTGAACACCTGTGAGCTGTTGGCTAGATTGTAAGAATCTGAGCAGTGGCTAGATTATAAGAATCAGAGCCAACTTTGTAAAATTTAAAAGCACTTTGTTCATATGGAGAGTGATTACACTTTTTTTTTTAAGCATCAAGATGACTTTTTTTTTTTACTATGTGATCGTACCACAAATACAATATAAATAGCATTATCATGGAAAAAGATCATGGTAATAGAGTGGTTAGTGTTAGTGCTATGAAAGTTAAAGGATGAATTCTTCCTTTCTGTCAACAATTAAACTTTCTAGAGGAATGTACTTCAGAGAATGGGTAATGTTTCAGTGTTATATTAAAACAAAATGTATTGATACATTTTTTAAGAACTGAAAAAGATGTTCATATGTTACCACTTGGTTTTATGCCCTCACGATGAATTATAAAAACAATGTGAAAGGGTTTTTTTGGGTAAATAGACAACCAGATCCTTAAAATACCATAACTAGGGACAATTAACACAACTTTCAAATGCAAGAATGAAAAGCATTTCTGCTTCTAGGGTTCCTGCCAGGATGATGGAGCAAAAAGAAGGATCAAAACGCTTTTTATGCACGTGGGTTTCTCAATCATAGGATCACAGATTTTGAGTTAGAACAATCTATTATCGCTCATCTAATCCAACCACCTCGTTTTACAGATGAAGAAACAAAAAGATAAAAAACCTTACTGACTTCTAAGCTAGGATCGAGGCCTCAAAAGATTTAAGTAACATGCAGAATGGCAACAACATTCATTAATTTTCTGCAATGACTAGAAACAAGGCTTATATTCCTCCTCTGTTTATCCAACAGGTTTAGGACATAAGAGTTTTACTCACAGAAAGTAATTAATAAATGCTTCTTGACTGACTGAAAATAATGATATAATGGGTTTTGAATGAAGGCAAAAATCACCAACCCAATAGCCAGAAATGGAGAAAAACCATTCCTAAATTTAGGCTATAGCAAGTGTAAGCAAATTTATCAAGTAAAAGATCACCAGTAACCTTGGGGCAGAGGAGTGTGAGAAAGCAAATCAGCAGAGGCAGTGAATACAAAAGACCCTTTCTAGGAGGTTGACTGAAAGAGAGGCAAGACACAGGACAAGAGTTTGAAGGGATAGCAAATCAAGTAAAACTGCTGTCAAGGCGAGAGAGACCAGGGCATATCTGTAGGAAGCAGCAAAGGTTTCATTAGGTCAAGAGAGACTGGAGATGAGACCTGACTGAAGGGCAAGCTCACAGAGGAGACTGAAGAGATTAAGTAGCAGAGTTAGCCTTGTGGAGGAAAAAGACAGCCACTTCCTGAGACTGGAATGAGGGAGCGGACAATGGGGGATAGAGAATCATCAAGGAGTTTTTCGGGTTCTTGGTAGGATGCAATGAAGCTTATGACAGTTGGTCTCTATTTTCTCAAAGTGGGTAAAGCTCTCAAGATTAGGACAAGTAGGGGTATAAGGGAGTCTTAAGGAGAAGCAAAAGGACTTAGGTTAGCTCTTTAAAGAAATGCAACAGTTGGGGCAGTGAGGTGGGGCAGTGGATAGAGCACCAGCCCTGGAGTCAAGAGAACCTGAGTTCAAATCCGGCCTCAGACAGATAACATTTACTAACTGTGTGACTCTGGGTAAATCACTTAATCCCAATTGCCTTAAAAAAAGAAATGCAAGAGTTGATTAAAGAGCAAAAGGATTGCCATGCAGTACACAGCGCCCAATTGACAAATTTACAGTGGGCTAAGCTGGCACAGTGGTGTGACATCCTCTAGCTGTGTTCAGCACCATGTGAACTGTCAGAGGAGGGAAAGGCAGATGCCTTAGGGGTAACCCAGAATTGGTGTTTGTCAAAGTGTGATGAAAAACAGGATAAGAGATTTAAAAGTGGGGACTATTGTATAGATGAACTGGTATTGACGAATACTGACAGGATCAATTAGTGAGGTTGATGGTAAGTGGCTGGTAGAAGACTGTAACAATGACCTAGATGGGATGAATGATGGATGGAATATACCTCAAAAAAGGTGTAAGGAAGATGATCTGGGCAGTAAAGAATATGAGAGGACAACTCAGAACCAGAGAGGGTGGCTACCCTTCTCTTCTTAAAAAGCCAGATTCTCATGAGTACAAGAAAATAGTAAAAGAGAATATTCTTACTCTCTGTAGAGGTGAGAGTCTAGAGATATCAAATACTGCCACTGTAGTCAGACCAATTTGCCCCATTGGTGACTTTTGGTGGTTCTTAGTGACAAGAGTGTTCTCTAGAAGGAAAGCGTTATCAGGAAATGTCTGGCATCTAAAAAAAAAATCAATGCTCCAATAAGTCTTTCTTTAAAAAAAAAAGATTGAGATGAAGTAGTCTAGGATAAAAGAGAACTTGTTTGTCATGAAACGGAGATTCTAAGAGGGCACAACAGAAAGGCAGAAGATAACAGTAACTCGAGAAGGGTGGATAGAGGAGTTTTCTAGTTGCTGGATCAAACTGAGGATCCAGGAAACTGTAATTATAGAAAATGGTGCCAGACTGGGCTCTCTCAAACGAGGAAAGAAGGGGTTGAGCCTACAAGGAAATTGGGACATGCAACTCAGACAGCCAAACCCCACAGGCATGCCTGCAATCATATTCATATCTTCTGATCATTCTAATGTGGGACGGTACACATGGAATGGGCACTCAGGTTCCACATAGGCCTGGTATCTGAGGCTCTAACAGCAAGAAGCCTAATATCTAGACACTTGATGGCTAGGAGGGCTGAAATGGTCTTTCTTTCTTTCTTTCTCTCTGTCTCTCTTAAGTTCTATTTGTGCCTTTTATTTTTACATCACAGTTATTACTAGGTATGTTCCTTTTCCTCATCCAGTCACCCAAGCCTTCTCTTCTTACAGGAAGTTTTAAAAAAGCTAAGCTAAACCAATCAATATATAGAACAGATCTGGCAGCACATCTAATATTCCATCCCATCATTCTCCACCTCTCTAACAAAAGAGTGAGGTTTTCTTTTCCTTAAGAGATTTATCCAAGCAGGACCAAGCAAGTAGTAGATTCTTAGTCAAGGAGATATTCAAATTCAGTTCCTCTGAGGGGAGAGGGTTGGACTCCCACTCCCTGAGACTGGAGACAGTGAAGGCAGAAATGGTTTCTGGGGTGGGGCCCCGGTGTCAGCAGTAGTACCTGACCAACCTGAGTACTCAATGGTAAGAGAGGAGCTGAGATACAGATTTGATTACACAGACCCAAAAAGTAATGCCTTCACCCACATCAATAGGTCCTGGGGAAGGAGGCTCCAGGCTAAGGAGGTCAAGTGCTGACAGCTCCACTCCCTGGTCCCTGAATGGCAGCCACATCTGTACAGGTCTCTGCTATGGTGTACATTTCAAACCTGTTTTTTTGTTCCAGGGAAGATATGTTATGTTTGCTGATACAGTAAATTAGAGATCTCTAGTCATTAAGACCCTTGTTCTACCTGGGAACTAATGCCTAGCCCTTACCACCACCATCCTCACTACTAAAAAAGAAAGATCTACAAGAAACGGTGACCAGTTAAAGAGCTCACAAATACCCATACCATCTAGGCTCAAAGAGAAGTTCAAGTCATTTTTTTCAGTGATTACTTTGTTAGAGAATCAGTCCATGCTCCCCCCCACCCCAGTTAATTCCTTGCCAAGTGATCTAAAAATCAGCAGCAGAGTAGAGTGGGAAGGGCACTGGGTTACAGGAGGGCCTGGCTTCAGATCCTGACCTTCTGCTTATCATGTGTAAGACTTTGGGGGAAGTTATCTCACCTCCCCAAGTCTCAGTTTCCTCATCTGTGAAATGAAATCACTAGCCCAGCCAGCCTCTGAGGCTTGCTCCCATTCAATCTATGATCTGATGAAGTGTTCAGAATCTAAGTATCTTCACTTACAAGTATATAAGAAAATGAAAGATTTTCCTAAGAATCAGTAGATTCATTCTGCAGCAAACCTCCTGGATCCAAAATTCATAGGGAGAAATATAACTAATGCTAGCTAGCACTGATTAGAAAACCATTACTATGGTGAGAATTTTAAAGGAACTTTTAAATGTAACCCAATTCAGAAGATCTTCAGGCATTTTGGTCCAGGAATGAAACCAAAGATTTGGCCAGAACCCTTCTGTGTACCATACAGTCCATGACTCTTCTTGCTTCAGACTGCTCCTCTCTTGTGCACATGAAACCACTGTATCTTTGTACATGTTTGCATCAGATCAGAAGAAATAAACACATAAAAGTTTAGAAAAGCCTGTCTCAATATAAGCAAAACTTTTTTTTTTTTTTGTGAGGGCAATTGGGGTTAAGTGACTTGCCCAGAGTCACACAGCTAGTGTCAAGTGTCTGAGGCCAAACTTGGAACTCAAGTCCTCCTGACTCCAAGGCTGGAGCTCTATCCACTGGGCCACCTAGCTGCCCCAATACAAGCAAACCTTCAGCATATGAACAAACAGTGCTGATGTTAGCTCAGTAAATAAATTGATTTGATCCAAGAAATACTTAGTTGGCATCTACAATATGCAAGGCCTTGTATGAAGTACTGTGAGGGATAGAGAGATAAAAAGCAAGTCCCTGGCCTCAAAAAACAAACAAAAAACCCCCACAATTCCACGTCAAAAATTGTATTCGATGAGGGTAGGAGTGGCCCCTCGGCTTCTTTTCTGAAAATGAGTGCTTTCTATATCTAGTTGACCTTGTGGAAGGGATTCTTCAGAAAACATGCTGAAGGATCCCTGATTTCACTGTTGTGGGTACCTGTCACTGACACATACCACAACCTCATAGAATCCAATCTTCTTCATTTTTTTTCTCTCATAAAACCTCCACAGAGGATTCTTCAACTTTAGTGACCTTACTTGAAACCTTCCTTGTTATTTACTAATCGATATAGATGAAAAGGATGCTAACAGAAATGTCAATCTACTCTCACTCTAACACCAAACACTCCTACTTTTTTGGTGGCATAATCTGCCTTTGATGTCTTTTATGACCTACACAAACTAATACAGAATGAGATCTTGAGAACCAGAATTGCATACACAATGAAACCTAGAAACCTTCAAAAGTGGAGAAACTTCAGACAGAGTACAAACTGCAACATTTTGTTTATTGGTTAAAAATAGTAATAATTACTATTATTATACCACTAACAGTGCATAGTGCCTACTAAAAATGTCATCTCAACTACACAACCTTGGGGGAAGACATTATTATCCTCATTTTAAGATGAGAAAACTGAGGCAAAGAGAGTTAAGTGACTTGCCCAGGGCTACTCACTCAATTAAGTGTCTGGGGCTGGATCTGAACTCCAGGCCTGGAGCTCTGTCCACTAAGCCACCTAGCAGGTTATAACTTAAGTAAATAATTTAAATAATTATTTACTCTTTGTTTTGTATAGCATGCATAGCCTTGAGTAAGTCACTCTCTTGGCCTCATTTTCCAAACTGTAAAATATGAGGGGGTTGGACTAAATGGCCTTGAAGGTCCCTTCCAGGTCTAGATGTGGTACTATGATTATTTCTTTACTGATAAGTATTAAGTGGGTGATTTTTAATGTCCTTTATACCACTTCTTGCACATCAAAACCACTGTTATTAATGTCCTATCACCTATTTATGGCTACTGTATGGGTAGCCGCTGAAAAGAAGCAACTACAAAAACGTAACTTTTGCAGACTTAATTTGAGAACCAAAAAAGTTATTAGGAGAGACAAACAGAAAACAGAGTGCCAGCCTGCAATGCAATATATGGGAAAACGCTTTCTAATCTATAAAGTGCTATACAAATATAAGCTACTGTTCTTCCAAGTCTTTGTTTCCTTAAACTAGAAAAATTTATCAACAAGCATTATATACTTATTATGTGCCAAGAACTGTGTTCTAGGAATTCTCCCCAAAATGACTGATCCCTTCAAATTCAGCAGCTTCTGGATTCATTTTGACCAACATATTTAAAAGTAAATTATATTAGTAAATTTATTATCTAAGTAAACTACTCAAATAAAATGTTAAATACCAAAACATAAGGTAACCAAAGTATATAGAAGATACTTGCATGTTCCTAAACTAACAAAGTGATTTTTAAATAAGATATTTTTTAATGCATCAATTATTTTCTAAAAATCTCTATGATTCTGTTTGTCTATTCCTCTCCTCCCCCACCCAGAACAAAACAATTTTTTCCTCTTGGGAAAAAAACAGAATCTAGAAATTCAGCATCTCTAAGTCTTATCTCTGCATGTCACAAGTTTCTGGATTTTCTAGTAAACTCTCTCCTCACAATCATCCCCATTTACTCAGTGGTTTCATTACACTGTATACCTCTAGGCCATCTGTCTGTCATTAAAATGCTGATCTAGGTAGATCAGCTTTCACTTGAATTAGGGTTAATCTGAGCTTCACTCTTAGCACTTTAAAGTCCTTTTAACTTCTTTGTGAATATAGGTAGCTATTTTTCAAAGGTTTTTTCTTGGGCAAAACCTCATGCTTTATGTTTAAAGCACCTACTCAATAAATTTTCCTGTGGATATTATTTGAAATCTGACTTTTAAAAAGACAGAAAGGAATCACGGTTCTATATAGCACCCTCAAGGCTGATGAAAGAAATCTCAGACCAGGCTCTAATATTAATATTCCATGAACTTAATGTATTTAAAGAAAATTTTAAAAACAACTTTTGAACCAGAAAAATTTAAGTTATAAAATAATTTTCTCTTCTGCGGTTTTATACTTACAAATCAGCCAAAACTATCCGCGTCCGTGTCACATTTTCTATGGTAAATTTAGTTTTTCCTCCTTTCCCAGCAATTCTTCCTATTGCCCTAGAAAGGTGGTCTCCTTTTAAAGGCTTTACTAAATTAAAAATAAAAAGAAAAGTTAGGGAGAGAGTCAACAGATCACAACCTTAAGCATCATCTAATTATATTTTACTTTATATTCATCCAACATTTATTGAGTGTCCACAAGGTACTGGCAGTGTGCTAAATATTAGGAGAAAAAAAAGGAAAACAGTGCCTGCCAGCAAAATTCAAATACTTCCTAACAATACAGTTAGGAAGATAAGATACATACACAAGTAATTATACGTGAAATTGAATATGTAAGAAAGGTACAGATAAGGTGCTCTAAGTTGAAAGGAAAGAGATATTCCTCAAAGGAAGAGGCAATGACTGCCCCTTAAAAAGAAATGCCAGCACATAGCTCATACTTTCTTAATAGTACGATTAGTGCAACTCAAAAGATCTGTAAGAACTCATAGGCAAGAGAAGTTGAGCATTTTGAGTTGGGCTGTAAAAAAAAATGAATGAGTACAATTTCAAAGCAACAGATTTCAGTGAAAGAAAAAGTGACATTCTAGATTTAGGGAACAACATAAGCAAAAAGAACAAATGCAAGAAAGAACAAACTCCTTCTTTAATGTGGTATTATTTCTAATTGTTATTTCACCACTAAAAGACAAGTCAACAAAGGAGCACAATACATTTGAGTAGGTTAGCATACAAGGCAATCAAACACAGCTTTCCAAAGTTTATAAAGGTAATATAACAGAAAAAGAGCACTTACCATCTGTAATTTCAAAAGATTCTAGGAAGAGGTCGTCTAACCTAATGAGAGCAAGTGCATCCTAAAAATTTAGGAGGAGGAAAAGTTAAAAGTTAATTTTATATAAAAATGCTGGGGAATGGGAAAGAGAAATAAAGAAATAAAATACAGATCTCAAAATGAAAAAAGGGTCAATTAATTATTTCTCCAAGTGTTAAAATTATATGAAACTCCTAATCCACAGCTGAAGTTAAGCAAACTACAAACTCAATTTTCAAGAGATGCCAAATCTATGAAAACTTCAGGTTCAGTTACATCACCATTTGAAATGTAATGAGATCACTCACCTCCACCTGAAATCCAAGAATAAAAGCTTTCACAAAATCGACAGCTTTTGTCAGAGCACTTACATCCTTGGTTTCTTTACAAGTCTGTAAGAAAACATAAAACACTGGGTTTAAAAATCAAGTGTTTACATAATTTTGTTAAGAACCTAAGTAGAAGAAAAAGTAAGCAAGCCTCTCTGAATTACTATCAACTCTATACACAAACTTCCTTAGACTCCACAATTTATGAACTTTTACTTCAAAATACTTAAAAAGCTTGCATAGCTGTCCCCAGCAGACTTTAACCAATAATCAACAAGCATTTATCAATCTCTAGGCACTGGGAATAAAAGACAAAAGCAAGATGGTCCCTGCCCTTGAGAGCTTACATTCTACAGAGAGGTTAAACAGGGATAGCAAATAGACCTGTACTTTCAGTGGTATATGGAACTCTCACGTGAGTAAATTCCCTCCTTTTAATAAGGCTGATCAGCAGTCGTAGACAGTGAGCTGCCTAAAACAACACAGCCACTATCTGTCCAACGTGGGGCATGAAGTCAGGTTTTCCCAGCTCTAAGGTCATTCTCCATCATTTCACAAAGAGGACATGTAAAATATAAAGTGGGGCATGGGGTAACAGTTGGGGAGGGGAAAGGTAGTATGCACAAGACAAGTACTAATGACTGCAGAAAAGGATTCTAAGATACAACTGAGCCCGAAAGGGATTTAGGGATTCCAAGAATCAGAGGTGAAGAGGAAGAGCATTCCAGGCAGAAGAGATGGGTTGTGAAAAGGCATGGAGGTGGGATATGGAATGTTCTACCCAGGGCACTGCAAATAGGACAGTTTCTTTGGAGCACAGATTATATAGGGGGTAGTAATGTATAATCATCTTGGAAAAACAGGAATGGAGTCAGACTGAAAGGGCCTTTAAGTGACAAACAGAGGAGTGTGTATTCTTAAAAGCAGGCACTTCTTTCTTTCTAAAAAGTAGTTTGCTTTGACCATAAAGATGCCCCATTCTACTACTAGAACTTTATATTTTTTTAAAGTATAAAAGCATATTTAACTGTTCCACATGCCCACTACTAGGGGCCTTCTCTGGGGAAATTGGGAGTAAAGTAGCTAGTGTTAATTCAGATAGGTAGCACCAAGCTGAATCTGACCACAGCTTCATCTGGTACATAAGGTTATGGGGTTTTGAAACAGCACAACCCATAACCATACCTTCACAGATAACTATAAACACCCCAATGTATCAAGTAGGACATGTGGAAAAGAGGACAAGCACTAAATACCATGTGTGCTCTAGCTGTACCACCTTTTCCAGTCTAAACCAGTATTTTTGTTGCACACAATCTGCTGATTCTCATCACTGACTCTTCTACCACTCAAAAACAGGCTAGGTTAATCCAAAATACACCAGCCCTCCTCCTACTATCTGACTCCTTTAAAAACCCTGACAGAAAAGCCAATGCAGCCGAATGTCCCTCAATTCAGCTCTTTCCCACAGTCCTGGTACATGAAGCAGTGGACCAAGGTAACCAATTTGCAGCTCAAATACTCCTCCTGCTCCCTTCCCATCCAGGTCCCACAGTACTCTTATTTTCACTCACATCCATGACCACCACTAACACTGGTCTTGCTCCTTAATCACAACAGGATTATTTAAGCCATACCATGATATAATGCCACTGAAAGTCAAGGTGAGAAGTGATACACTAAGGAATGTACCATTTAATGTGGCAGAACCACTGAGCACTTAGGAGAAATAGAAAGGAAAGCACACAATTCATGCTTTTCTTGAGTCCAGTTGGGGCAACTCAAAAGACCTATTACAACTCATGGGCCAAAGCAGCAGAACTACAGCCAAATCTTGGGGCTTAGCACACAGAGGAAGCCAGGATCTCACATACAAAATGATTCTGGTGGACTTAGTAAAAATAAAAGCCCCCAAAGCACAGCATAACCCAGTCATGGCCAATGAAACAGGAGGATTCTGGGAAGTAGGAGGTGCCCATCCCTCAGGCAAACAAACCAAGTTAAACCTCTCTTCTCTCCTCCTCTAAATCAAATCACAAGCTTGAAGAACAAGCAACATTTAAGTAACTAAATGTTAACTCCACTATAAAAAGTGATTTCAAGGCTCACATCACATTCTTTTTCGGATTCATTAAAAGAGAAAATATTTGTTCCACATGGGTAGATTTGACTTCTAGAAAAATACCAACCTCCTATGATGCACACACAAAGCATATAAAATACAAATTATAAGGAAAAAAGTGAAGTGGGGGGGGGGAACCACAATAATGGAACAGGAAAATGCCTTACTTATTATTTATGTAAATAGCTTACTTATTTGAATAAACTTATTTTTCTTATTTTTATGTAAATAAGGAATATATTCCTTAAATAAAAGGAATTTAGTCAACGGAATATGAAATGACCACCTTCATTAAGGTAGTGTAGATTTAAAATGTATACAGAAAAATGAATAGAATTTGGATCTGCAGACAGGAGGCATTTCTTCAGAGGAAGACTGAAACATGGGTACAAATAGGGAGGAAGTAATGATCAGGGAAAAGGTCAGAAAAACAGTAAGTATACCAACTTATATGAGTGGACAGCATGTGTTTAAGGTTAGAAAACTGATTACCAAAAGTCTTAAAAGGCAGAGTGAGTTTTGACTCTCCACTGACCATAAAGACAATTCAGCAAAGGTTTCCAAGTTAAATCATCAAAAGAATCTTAGAGAATATTTAATGAAATGTCCTAATACACACCACATCCCTGAGGTCATCATTCAGCTTTTGCTCAGGAGTTTAGTATATTAACAAGGCAGGACACTCCAGTTTTGAACATCTCTACCCATGGAAAAAGTTCTCCCTTAGAAAGTGGTGAATGTGATGCTTTAATTTCTCAAACTCACTGGTCTTCCTCCTGGCTTCTGTAGTTAGAAGCCATCTCTCTTCCATATAAATGTCTTCAAATATGTGAAAGGCTATTATGCTATGTAATTCCACCCTATCTTTTCTTCTCAGTGAGTAGTCAATAAACATTTATTAAGTAGCCACTATGGTGCCTGGCACTATATACTAAGCCCTTGGAATAAAAGAGAAAGGTAAAAGACAACACCTACTCTCAAAGAGCTCACAAGGAGGGAGATAACACGCAAATAACTGGACACCCAGCTTGAGAGTCTGAAAGGCAGTTGGAATTAGGGCTACATAAATAGATATGAGAGTCATAAGCAGTAAGTTAATTGGATCCACAGAAGTTGATGAAAGCACTATCATGATAGCCCTTCACATCATGAAATGGTATAGAGGGAGAGGAGAAGATTAGTGAGGAGAGCCCTGTAGGCCACCTACAGTTAGCAGGCAGGCACGACCTGGATGAAGATCCAGCAAAGACTGAGAAGCAACAGTCAGAAGAGGTAAACAATGTCAGTGGCTGCAGAGAGATCAAGAAGGATGAGGACTGAAAAAAGGCCATTAGATTTGATAACTAAACAATGTTAGTAACTTTGGAGAGAACATCTGAGGTTGAATAAGGTCAGAAGACTGACAGAACAAATAAATAAATAAAATACAGACAGAAGACAGAGTTTTAAGAAGTGAGAGGAAAGGAAGTGAAGGCATCTATTATAGATGACCTTCTCAAGGAGTTTAGCCACAAAAGGCAGGATAAACATGCCCATTCTTTTCAACTATTACTCATTTGCTGTTTTTCAAATTCCCTCACCATCTCTGAGTGACAATAAAAATAGTGTAATTCTAGTGAGATTAACCTGGCACCAATGTTTTTAAGAGAAACCAAAAGATCCTGAGATAAGGAAACCAGGCATGAAGCTTTTACAACAATCTCAAAATAAGGGGGAAAAAACCTAGCAGTTAAAAAAGGAAAGGAAAAATAAATGGTTTCATTTTATATATTTAAAAGTACATTTTTATCAAAATATAAAAATATGTTTACATGTTTTAAAGTATATTTAAAAGCATATCCAAAAGTCATAAGTGCTTTACTCACTGGAGGTGATCCTTGGTTCTGGAAGGCTATGCCAGCATAAGCTCTAGTCAAGCTGAAGCAAACTTTTATCACAGGCAATGCTGTGACATTACAAATGTTGTATGACAAATGTGACAGACAAATGTGAAAGGAGAAACCTAGTTAAGTAGGGAAAGGCTGATCATGAGTAAGTTGGCCACCAAGTGATGAACTCTTTGGACATGATAAAAAGCAAGAACAAAAACAGGCCTTCATTCTCCGTAGCTCCCTTCAAAGGGTCCAGACAGAGCCCTGTGGGACATCCAAAGGGTGTGGACTATGGTTCTCTAATTTGTAGCCTTATGGTATCAATAGGACGCATTTTAAAGAACCATAGTAAAATGGAGAAATACAAGATGAATATACATAGAATAAAATATTATTGACAACAGAAAAAGGTTATTAAACAAAATGATAACAATAAGGAAAAGATCAATCATGCTTCGGCCTGTATAAGAGAAAGAAATGTTTGTTTGGAAAAAGTTGAATGTTTTCCTTACCCTGATTTCTACATCCCTTGACTTTAAGTTAAATCTTATCTGAAGTCCCAGGTGTTCTACAACAGGTGTAAATATTTTCATCCAGTTCTCTTTTAATGGAGTGTATCTGTTGGCAGGCACTGGAATTTTCCTTATTTCATCTTTGCCACTCTGTAACAAAAATACACAATTAAGAAATAAGAGAAAGATGATCCCTTATTTATTTTATGTAATAAAACCTAAACATTACATTTTTACGTAGTAAATAAATGAGACCACAAAAGCCTATTCCTAACTTCGGGATTGGGTCCTTGAAGGTTTCAACTACCAAAGTTCTGGCAGCTTCTACCACAGACAAACTTGTACCTGGGTTCCAAAAATACACTGTCATCTGAGGACCATTATCTACGTACAAGGCACTAAGCTAAGTGGTAGAGAAAGATTTTTAAATGGCATAGTCCCTACCCTCCTCAGTATGCATTCTACTGAAGAGAGATTACAACATAACAGATAAATATAATATAAAATATATCCCTGTGAAAACAGGGAGAAGGGTCAATGAGATACCACCCTCTGTCAAGGCAGGTCAGTCCTTTTCTCTGAAACTTACAGCCCTAGAGAGTGACCTAGATCACTAAGAGGTCAAGTGACATGCCCAGTGCCACACATTCAGAGCAGGGACTTGAACCCAAGTTTTCCAGATTATGTAGACCAGCTCTATCCACTATGCAGTATTGACCCCAGCCTTCCCCAGACCCAGATTTCACCCCCACACCTTCCCCCACCTCTGACCAGCAGCTATGAGAGGCGGCAGTCAGTCAATAATATTCAGTGCTGCCTCTTTCCCTCTAATCATCAATCCTTTGCAAATCTAATTGACTGAAAATAATTTAGATCACTCCCTCAAAAAACAAAACAAAGCACAAGAAATTCTATGCTACAGGTGATCTTCTTGATATTTATCTTTCATTTCAGAAGTTACTGCTTAGACATGCAAACTTCTCTCTCATCTCAGTTGTTACTCAGATATATACAACTTCCCTGACAGCTAAAAAACAGCCCATGTCCCGGTCTCCTAATGTAGAGGCATGCCTTCGTTCAATCACTGTTATTAATCTCCTTCGTGCAAAATTCACGCAGAGCAGCCCTGAAACATTCATAGTCCACCGAATAAAACCGTAAATGGTGTTTAGAGTTTTGGGGGGCGGAAGGGATTTTGAGTGCCATGGGGCACTCGTACTTCCAGGGATTCATCCTTCGTGTCACGGGCCCCATCGGCCGTCTGGTGAAACCTGTGGAGTCTCCCTCAAACTAACGTTTTCAAAAGCATAAAATAAAATACCTGGAACTGAAAAGGAAACAAACCGCCTCGGCTCACAGGCCCGACCTTTCTCCCCCGCCCCCCTCCGCCCAGGGGATGGGCCCACGCCCCCGTTCCCTCCGGACTGTACCGAGAATGCGTCCCCGGACAAAGGAGGAAAAACGGGTTTCTTGGGGGGTCGGGGTCCCTCAACATCCATCTGGCCACCGCTGTCGTGGCCCTCCGGCTGCTGCTCCTCCGCCCGCCGCTTTTTGCCCCGTTTGCCACTTGTGCGAGAAATCTTGGTGAAGCCGTCCCCATCCTCCGCTGAGCTCTGCGTTTCCATCGCCGCTTCCATGCTGCACAACAGGGAACTGCTGCTCCAGGTGTCTCCGGTTCCCGCACGTGGAACGGGGCAAGGCGCAGGCGCGCGTCGAAGACCCAACACGTTCCCTTACGTCACTGGATAGCTCCACCCCCTTCTTTTCCCTGTCTAGCAGACTGGCCGGCGTTGCGCCTAAGTCTTTCCATCCCATTAGCACCCGAAATCTTGGTGTGAACCACACGGAATCTCTTTACCCTGAGTGGAAGAAAGTCATGGAAAGAATAAGAGAGGCAGCTTCTCGTCTGAAGCTGCGGACTGTCACAATAACGATCAGGCATCGATACCGACAACTAAATGAACTTCCTCCGTTGGGGGGGCGGTGAGCGGGATACGGGGTACGGCAAGCGGGAGGGTCAAACGGTCTCTTCGTTTCCCAGTTAGCGACGGACGCGGCAGCGGGCCGGCATCGCGAGCGGTCCTGCCATGACGGCTTTCGAGAAGCCTCAGATCATCGTGCACATCCAGAAGAGCCTCAACTACACGGTGTTTGACTGCAAGTGGGTGCCCTGCAGCGCCAAATTCGTGACTCTGGGCAACTATGCCCGGGGCACTGGCGTCATCCAGCTCTACGAGATCCAGCACGGGGACGTGACGCTGCTGCGGGAGGTGGGTGCCGCCGGCTGGGCCTCCCCCGCCCTCGGCGCTGCCTCTCGGTCCCGGCCGACCCCACCTCTTGGGTCCCTCCGAGAGGGACAGCCAGTCAGTCGATAAGCATTTATTAAGCTGTGCCCCTCATTGGGCAAAGTGCAAGGGACACAGAAAGAGGCAAAAGCCAGTTTCTGTCCTCAAGGAGCTTACAGTCTAACGTGGGAGACAACATGCAAAGAAATGTAAACAAACCAAGTTGTATACAAGAGGAATAGGAAATAATTAACAGAGGGAAAGCACTGGAATTAAGGGCTGGGGAAGGCTTCCTGTAGGAGGTGGGATTTTAGTTGGGATTTAAAGGAAGCCAGATAGGCCTGTAGCCAGAGAAGAAGAGGGAGAGCATTCAAGGCATGGGGGACAGCCAGAGAAAAATTGTGGAACAGCCAAGAAGTCAGTGTCACTGGATCGAAAAGTTCATGTTGAGGAGTAAGATGTAAGAAGGCTGGAAAGGTAGGACAGGGCAGGGTATGAAAGGCTTTGAGTGCCACACAAAACGTTTTGTGTTTGCTCCAACAGGCAATAAGGAGCCACTGGAGTTTATTGAGTAGAGAAGTGACATGATTAGTTCTGCATTTTAGGGGAAAAAAAACCATTTTAGTGGCTTAGGATGGATTGGGGAGACACTTGAGGCAGGCAGACCCTACTACTGTAGGCTACTGCCGTAATCCAGATGTGAGGTGATGAGTGTCTGCACTAGAGTGGTGTTGGTGTCAGAGGAGAAAAGGGGGAATGGAGAGATGTTACAAAGGTGAAATGGACAGGGCTCGGCAGCAGCTTGGGTATGGGAAGTGAGAGAGTAGTGCAGGATGACTCCTGGGTTGTGAGCCTGAGGGACTGAGAGGATGGTATTGCCCACTGCAGTAATAGGGAACTGGGGAGGCAGGGAAGGTTGGAGGGATGGGGAGCCATGGAAAATGAGTTCTGTTTTGAACGTGTTGAGTTGAAGATGTCTAACAGACACCTAGTAGGAAATGTTTGAAAGGCAGTTGGAGAAGCTAGATTGCAGGTCAGCAGAGATGTTAGGGCAGGTTCAGTACATTTGAAAATTTACTGGGATAGGTAGGAGAACCTAGAGAAATAGCAGCCTTGAAAACCTAGAGAAAAGAGAGTAACCAACAGAGTCAAAGGCTGCAGAGAGATTGAGGAGAATGAGGTTTGAGAAAAGACCATTGAATTTAGCAGTTAAGCCCTGGAGGCAGAAGAGATTTAGGACCAATAATTAAACAAATGGAAGGATCAAGTAAGGATTTTTTTGTTTTTGTTTTTTAGGAAAGAGAGTCATGAGCATGTTTATGGGTAGTAGAGAAGAAGCCAGTAGACAGGGAGAGATTGAAAATAAGTGATAGAGTAGGGTTCACAGAAGAAGCAGTCAAAGAATGGTTAAACTTGGTAAGGAGTAAGACCACCTCTTCATTTGAGACAGGGTTAAAGGAAGAGATAGTGGCAGAAGGCATCTAAATTTTATGAAATAAGGAAGAGGGTTGAAAAAGGAGTTCTCAGCAAATGGTCTCAATTTTTCTGTAAAATATGAAGCAAGGTTCTCAGCTAATAGAGTGGGGGGGACAGGGAACCATGGAAGGCATGTGGAAGGATGAAAAGGTTTGGAAGAGCCACTGCGGAGAGAGTGACTTGATGAGGATTGCCTGGCAGCAGTGAGGACCCAGTTGAGGTTATGTAACATAAATCTACAGTGGACCCAGTCAGAACTGTTGGATGATTTTCTCCACCTTCATGCAGCAGCACACGTGTAGGAATGAAGGTAGTAGATTGTGGGAGTGATGTCAGGCTGAGGCTTGCCAAGGCATGATTAACTGTATGATAAAGTACCTAGGGACTCAAAAGAAAAGGACAGTGTTGGGTTGAACTGTTCACCAAAGGGTCAAGATGGGGAGAAGAGAATACAGTGGCTAGTATAAGGGCAGTAGCCTGGTTGAAGATTGAGTGATCAGGGTATGGGAGATCAAGATACGGACAAAAAGTAAGGCTTGCTAAGAAAAGGTAGAAGGAGAGGTGGAAAGCCAATAGATTGTCATCAGATGAGTGGATTTCTAATTCTTGAGCCGTGAGGTGGTGCATTTGTGAGCGGTAACAAGATCTAGGGTGTGTGACTATCTGTGTATGATTGAAGTAGGGCAGAGGAGTAGGTTGTGGAAAGTGAGTAGGTTGGGAAACTGGCAGGCTGGGATGTTTGAGGGAGAGTTAATACGTATGTTGGCATCCTCTAACGTGAGGGCAGTGTTGGGGAAGAAAGCAAAGTGGTGAGCCGTGTACGGAACTCATTGAAGAAGGAAGGGGAGAAATGTGGCCAACAGCTCCCTGGCTTTTAATTTTGCGATAGGCCTGAATTGTATGTATCTCGAAGGAGAAGTTGTTTAGTGTTTAGTAGAAAGGAGAGAACCTGAAGGGAGCAATGGGGAGCAAAAAGTATTCCAACTCCTCTACTTTGACTAGCAAAAGTACACTCATTCGTATGAGGGGGTGAGTAAGTCAGCTTGGGGTTTCCCTTCCTTTTTTCCTTCCATGTCCCCTTTGGTCTTGACAGTTGCAGTAGTCTCCTAATTAAATCTCATTGCTTTTAATCTCTCCAGTTCTTCCTCCCTGTAGCTGCCAAATTGATCTCCCTTGCCTTTCCTCTAAGGTACAGCCCTACCATTTAAAGACCTCCATTACTGGCTCCCAGCGCTTCAAGGTTTATTTAATTGTATTCTTAATACTTCTCCTTTCTAGCTAAACTGTCCAACCTTTTGCGTTTCATCATATGGAAAATTCTATCCCTGCCACTAGCCACAATTACTTATTGGAATCAACTCTGATGCCTCTTGGTTATATATACCTTTACTAATGCCCTTAATTATCAGTGATCTCTCAATCTTGAAATGACTTTCTACATACTTTGTATTTACTTATTTGCCTACCTCTTTATTGTGAGCGCTCACCATTGTAAACTGCTTAAGGGCAAGGAGTGTTCTTTGGTTTTGCCTTAGTATCTTGCACTTGGGCACTTAATAAGTGTTAGTTGAATTAAATCCAGAAGCTATCCATAGCTCTACCGGGAAGGTGAAGCCCAGTAAGATCCATCCAAGCCTTAGTAGCACCTGATTCTTCCAACCTCAAACTGTTGTGTTCACAGATTGCTGGAATCCTCATACTCACTGCCTTCTTCTCCTGGGACTCTCACCCTTGTCCTCACTCTGACCTTCTTGATGGTCTCAGAGTAGTCTAATCATTGAAATCTGAGTTCACTGAGGAGGCTGAGCACCTACTCTGTGCAAGGTACTAGAAAAGATACAAAAGTGCAAGACAGAATACTTGCTCTTGGGGGGTTTATAGTCTAGCTACAGATCTAGAAAGGCCTTTAGAGATCATCAAGTTGAACGGCCTCATTATGTAGATGATGGAGATTGAAGCCCAGAAAGGTTAGGTGACTTGGGGATTTTCATTCACATTCTTTTACTCCAGATTCTTCATTACATTTCCTCTCCATCCCCTGTCACCTGTCCCGTAAAGGGAGAGAAAAGACCAACACACAAGAAAGAATGAATTCACAGTGACTTAAGGGTTCATAATTTCACTGTCTCACAGAATTTGAGAGTTGGAAGAGACCTCAGTGGCCAACAAGTCTAGCAGTGTGCCTTCTATAATAGGAGATAGTGGTTTTGGTTTTGTGTTTTAATTTGACAGTCCATAAGAACTAACAATCTTTTGGATTGTTAGTAATGAACAATTTTTTAAATTATTTTTTTCCTGGGCAGGTCATTTAACCTCTGTTTGCTTAATTTTCCTTATCTATAAAATGGGGATGATAATAATAGCACTTATTTCTCAGGGATGTTAAGAGGATCAAATAAGAATAATTGTAGAGCACTTAGAAACAGTGTCTGGTGCATAGTAAATATTATACAAATGTTAGGTATTGTTATTATTTAATTATATAAATTATTTTCCTGGTTTTGATCATATTACTCGGTATCAGTTCATGTAAGTCTTCCCAGGTTTTTCTGAAACCATCCCTTTTATCTTTTCTTACAGCATAATTGTACTGTATCACATTTATATATCATAGTTTAGTCATTTCCCAATTAAAGGGCATCAGGTTCCCATTCTTTGCCACCTCAAAAAGAGCTATAAATAATTTTGTACATCTTAGTTAGAATTTATTTTGCTTTGGATGACTCCTTCCCTTAACCTACTCTCCTTCTAATGTCCCTTTCTCACCTTTCCCTCCTGTTTTCTTGTTGAGTAAATTATTTTTCTGTGCACAACTGTGTGTATTCTTCCCTCTTTTGACCGGGCAAGATGAAAGTGAGAGATTCAAGTATCAGCAGCTTGCTCCCCCCACCCCTTCTTCTTTGTTAATATAGATGCCTACTTGCTGATTATGTGAGATAGTTTTTCCTAACCCAAATCACTGCACGCTCTCCCCTCAGTGTATTCTTCCATTCTTTTTCATTCTTCTTTTAAAATCATCAAGACATAACTATTCCTAGGCCTTCTCTCTAATTATACTTTCTCTGAGACCCCTGAAGATGATAGAATTCAGAGGGATCACAGGTATTTTCTCCCCATGTTAGGATTTAAGTTGTTTATATTTGTTCCTCTTTACTTTTTTATCTTTATCTTAATTCCTGTGTTTGATTTTAGTGTTTCTGTTAGGTTCTGATCTTTTTATCAGGAATGCTTGGATTTCCCGTTTCATTAAAAGTACATTTTTTTTCCTTCTGTACTCTTATACTCAGTTTTATTGGCTAAGTAATTCTTGGCTGTAAGCCTGTTAGATCCTTTGCCTCCTAGAATATCATTCCACGCTCTCCACATAGAAACACTGAGGGACTTCCCTTCCCAGACTGATTCTTTTGTGAAGGCAAAGGACCAACTTTTGCCTCAATTCTTACCTACCCTTAAATCACTAAATGAGTGTTGCCTCAGACAAACTGAGACCTGGGAAAGACCTTTGCTTT